GCTGAGGTTATTAAAACAAAAAACCATGTTGTCTTGGCACATATGAACTCACAGCAGTTTTGATAGCCTACACATATCTAGGCAAGATTTATCTGAGAATGTTTGGTCTTTGTCCAAGCTTTATCTACATAGCACATAGTAATTAAAAGTACCAGACTGGTAGAACTAACCTTCTTGGATGTTTAACAGCCATACTTTGAGGCCTGTACTAATTCGGTCAGAGGGACATAAAGGACAGTCTTTGCTCCTTGCCCTCCTAAGTGGACTGTTCCAGGGGACTATGAGCATCTCTCAAAATGTCCTGTAACTGTCATGAGTCCCCTGTTCTCTTGATCAAGGAGGCTATGGAGAACCCATCAAATGAACTTGAACCAGTGTTGAGTCTACAAAGAGGAGGGTCAACACAGAGGAAACATTTCCTCTACACTTCCAGGTAAATCCAGCCATGGTCGAGTAGGACCTTTGACTTATCTTCACATAGATGGAACTGGTAAAAGAAAGGAGCCAGGGGCTCCTCCCAAGCCCATGTGACCCCTGAGGAACAGATCCTCGAACGGCCTTGAGAATAAAAATAAATTGGTTTATCTGGGTCAACTGTATGGTCTTAAACACCCTAAAGGAAAGTATAACCAAAGATTAAAGGGATCAATATAATTCTTTAAGAGTCCATGTGTATAGCTAAAGGCTACATAACAAGAAACAATGCCAGACAGGAGGTACCTTCCTTTGAGTTGTTGGCCAGGGTGCCCAACAGACTCCCAGACAGTAACCCAGCATAGAACTGGGAAAAAGAACAGCAGACCCCAATCTTATCTAAAGGAATATTGGCAACTGATTGCTTCTAGATGAGGAACAGCTGATCTTCCTAAAACAAGGATCTCTAAATAGGCTGACTAGATTCAGCGGATGGACAAGCACTGGGGAACGGCTGGGGGCACCAACAACACAGTGGACAGTAACAGGAATGACAGAGTACATGGGCTCCAGTTGGGGAGGCTATGGGAGGGTGCCATTTGGGATGTGGGTATATAGATGAATGAATGATTGGAATGTTCTATATGAAATACACACAAAAAAATCAACAAATAAAAGAATGAGTTATATTTGAGGAAGAAGCATAAAAATTTGCTTTATGTTAATTAGTAGATGTGAAAAACAGTACCATTGAAATCTACCTGATGACTTTATATCCATACTCAGGTGCCAAGGATCTGAGTGTAACTGACTGTGACTAGTAATAATCAGATACATGGAGATTAGAGGCACATGTGCAAACATCTCAGTGTTAGTAGCATTAAAAATGAGGGGAAAAATGAGTTTTTCTGTATGAAACAGTGTATTTTAAAATGAAATGGAGATGTTTTTTAAATGTTAAAACCTCATTCAATTTTATATCTTATAGGGTTTATACTGAGTTTAATATTGTATAACTGTATTCAACTGTGAACCTAAAAATTTACAACCAATTTTGAAAGAGATGCATCTTTGCTCTGGAAATTGTTATTGAATATGTTAATGCTATAATTAAATGCTTCTTTTAATCATGTGGTTATTAAATAATTTAAAAAAAAATAATAAAAGGAAAGGAAACAGAAGAGCCAAAATTTGGAAGTAAAACAATTCCATGTTTAGTAAACTCACATATTTTGGGATGTCATAGTTATGGACAAGAGTATCACAGAAAATAAAGCTCGATTTCATAGGGACTTTAAAGCCTTGTATATGGCTAGAGGTGTTGGGTTCTACCTTGTTCGTGATATGAAGGTAATAAAAGATTTTAAGCAGAAAAAAAAAAAAGCAAGTATGCTTGTGTGATAAAGCAATTAGAAGAAAGAAAATATAGCAATTTTGTATGGCCTCTGGCTTTCAGTTTTTCACCTAAATTCCTTCCTGTAAAGGTGGATAAAAATCTCTTGAAATACAGAAAATATATTAAACGTATCGTCTTATAATTAACTAATTAGTTAACTCCAGTTTAAGAAACAAGGTCTCACTATGTAGTCCAGGCTTGCCACAAACTTGCAATGTTCCTGCAGCCTCCCAAATTCTAGAATTGTGTGTACCACAAACCCAGCTCCTCTAAGACTTTTTAAAAATAATTTCTTTTAATTTGGTAAATACTTCTGTTAAAATATTTAGTTTTGAAACAGAAATATCATATGCATATATCTTGACCCTCTAGTACAAATCGTTGTATATCCAACATTTATTAAATCAAGTCATACTTTCTGGGTAATGTGCTATAATTCATTTAGGGTGGAGTTATTAAGTTACAATTTTCAATCAAAACTCCACCTCAGGAACCCAAGAATGTTAGGTAGTAGATTAGGAAGTCAATGGCTTGCCAGGAACTTCAGTTATTCCTATTAACAATTTGATTACCTATGCTGACTCTTGCATAGGTAGCAGGTTATCCAAGTCTCAAACTTGATACTTCTTTGCAGCATTTGCGTCACCTTTCCCACAGATATTATTCATTTGTACATTTAAATATCATTTTCCATGAATAAGTCAGTATGCTTAAACCACTGTAAACATATCTTGCTTTGACTTTCTGTGCATCTCTAGCACTAGGAATTGAGGGGTTTTTTTTGTTTTTGTTTTTTTTAAAGAGGAGGGGGAAAGAAAAGGAGGAGAAAGAAGGAGGAGGTGGTGGGGGAGGGGTGGGTAGGGACTGAGTTTGGTGGCTGAAGCATGACAATGGCAAGTTCAAGGCCAACTTAGGCAATTCAGTGAGACTTTGCCTGAAAATGTAGAAAGTGAAAAGTAAAAGGGTGCTGGGAATATAATATTGATAAAGCTTTTGCATAGCAAGTGCAAAGCCCTAGGTTCAATCTCCAGCACTGATACACACACACACACACACACACACACACACACACACACACACAAAGGGTATGTATTGGGGGCTGGAGACATGCATAAAATGGTCTAATTTCAAAGAATAGATTTGTTTAGCATAAAGTGAGGAGTGAGGTAGAAAGTTCTGAAACAGCTAAACTTCACATTATCACTTTTTCTTTTTTCTTTTGGTCTTTTTGAGACAGGGTCTCCCTGTAGCCACAGCTGACCTGGAACTCACTATGTAGACCAGGCTGGCCTTGAACTCACAGAGATCCTCCTGCCTCTGCCTCCCAAATGCTGGGATTAAAGGTGTGTGCCATAGTGCCTGGCTCACATTTAAACTAAGTTGTAGCATTTCACTTACACAGTTTGCTAAAAATTTATTGTTTGTTTGTTTGTCTGTTTATTTATTTATTTATTTTGGTCTTTCTGAGACAGGGTCTCCCTGTAGCCCCAGCTGTCCTGGAACTCACTATGTAGACCAGGCTGGCCTGAACTCACAGAGATCCGCCTGCCTCTGCCTCCCAAGTGCTGGGATTAAAGGCGTGCGCCACCACGCCTGGCTAAAAATTTATTTTTGACTTACACATAGAACTGTACATATTTGATTGGCTACAATATAATACTTTGGTATGTACAAATAATATGTAATATTTATATTCGATTAAGCATTATCTATCGTAGTCACATTTTCACTGTTCAACCAGCTGCTCCCTGTCTGGAAGACATTTCCTCAGCATCCATAGGATTAGCTTCTCACCTCCTGCTGCTCAAATTTCCCCTTCTCAGAACTGTCTATGCTGCCTAGACTTGATTTCCATATCTCCCAGCCTCTACATTCTCAACTCCCCTTTGCTCTCATCTCTCCTAACTGCTGCTATTGAAAGGATTTTCCTACTCATCAAGTGTACTGATCCTTTCTCACCTAGTAACCCTCATGAGGTAAAAAACTTTTTGTCCTTTTTTTTTTTTTTCCTTACATTCAGTGTCAGGAGAAAAGCTTGGCAAACTCCACAGTATCTTGTGTTTTGAGATGAAGTTTTACCATGCTGGTCCTGAAATCGTAGCCGGAAAGCAGACTTCTGCCTCAGCCTCAGAAGGAAGGGGGCTACAGGCACTATCCTCCGTGTCCCCCTTTAGAACGTGAATGTTTATGATCTTGGTCACCTAAGCAGGAACTCAAGTGTGCTTTCATCATGTGTTATGTTTCCAAAAGTTAAACTTCCTCCTTAAAAAGTACCATCCTTCTCCAAATTAAGGAGACCACATGAGTCTCCCAACCTTCAACGGATTGCATTTTCTAAGGAAGCAACACAACTGGGTAAAACTGCAACTTCTCACACACACCTGCAAAGAAAGAGTACACTGATGCCCAGGCCCAGAAAAAAAAAATGAAACATTTGAAGATTTTACCGATTCTGAGTTTTAATAAAGCAAAAACAATAAAAAACTTGAGTTGTCTGTGGTTGAACTAGAGTGTCAACTAGAATTTACTGTTGGATTTTAGGTGACTCACCCTGCCATGGTGACCCTAGTCCATGGATGGCAGGGCAGTCTTAACTGCAGTCTAGAAGTAGACTAGGACACCAAATGCCTGTCCTCCTAGGTTTAGCTCAGCTCCACCAACCTGCCTTCTCGGGAGCTAGATGAAAACACACAAGGGCTAAAGAGTTAAACAAATACAAAAGGGAAAGATGGTGCGCTGGTTCCACTTGGTCATTCAACCTTATACTAACAGGAAGAAACTGACTCCCAAGTTACCCGCCTGCCGCGAAAACCCGGGTAATTCAGTTTAGAGGAACAGCGCAAGGAACAGCCTTCCCATCCTGGCCCTTGACACCGGTGCCTGGCTTCCACGGCCACGCTCAGAGGGCAAAGTTGGGTCGGACGGAAGGCGTCCAGAGATTTTGTTTTCCTAGCCAAAGTCAAGTTCGCTGCCCCGGGCTCCCTCCCCTAGCCCGGGCCACCCGCTGTTCCCGGGATGGGACGGGAAGAGCCTGAGGCCCGCCTCCGGGGCGTGGCTAGGATGGGCGCAACCACTGTCCTTGGCGGGGGGCGCGGCGCCGCCCGGGCGCCTCACTACTTGGCTCTACAGCCCCATCTCAGCGCCGGCTGCTCCTGTATGTCCCCCTCCGAGTGTGGTGCGGACCGGGGTCCACCGTCACGCAGCGGCGGGGGTGGGGCCTGCTTGCGGCCCAGGTGGTGCCCACAGTCCAGTGTAAGTTCCTTGGAGCGGCTTGGCGGCTGGGAAGATGCTGGGCCCAAGTGGCCTCACCTTGGTCCTGGCCGTGGCTGTCCCCTGCGCCGTGGCGCAGCACGTGCCGCCGGTGGGTGAACTCCAGCCACCGCGCAGATGGGGTGGGGGCGCAGGTGCACGCGCGGGCGCAGGCGGGCTTGGGCGCCGGTGAGGCAGGGTGGGGAGGGCGGGGATTCTGGCACCTGTTCGCCGACTGCTTCTCCCCGAGCTTGGGTGCAGAGCGGCCTGGTGGACCCGGGCGCTTGTGGCTTTGGTGCTGTCTAGAAAGCGTGCATATTTTAGGCAACTCTAAAGACGCTCCCCACGGGAAGCTGGGATCACAGGACGGCTTAGCCTGGGTAGTGGGAGCTGCCCTGGGCCAGCCGTTCTGCTGCGGCTGTCCTTCACGCCCTGACGCGGAATGCCTGTCCCGTGGTCCAGCGCGAGCAAGTCACAGGACCACAAACTGTAACTGCAAGAGACATCGAGGGACTAGCATGACTCTGGCATTTTATAAAAGAGGAAGTAGCTCTAGAGTGAAAACCTAACCAGAGGTCACATTATTGTCCACAGATAACATTCTTAAGCCCTAGCCACTTAGGAAGTCCAGTCTGATACTGAAGCTTCATAATTTACTTCTTAAAAGCAATAAAACTGCAAGTTTTGTTTTGTTGCCAACAGAGTAGATAACTGGGAACTTGGGTGCATTTTGCCTCAGGCAGGTGATATTGAAAAGCTTAAGATATCGAAAGTGGGTCAGTAGGATTTCTTTTATTCCTGGAAGGAAAAATTTTTAGGAATAATAATAGTCAAACACAACAGGCTAATAATATTCAGCTACTAGAATAGACATTTAGCAAATAAAAGTAGCAAAGCAGTGCATATAGTAACTTAATTGATCAAAAAATATGTGCATGTGGGCAAGGTGTGACATAGTATATGGAAAAGAAAACTAGCTTGCCTTAGTGTTGGTAGAGAATTTTCTGAGATGAGTTGGGATTGAAGGAATTTTTAAAGGATTTAATATTTTGATAGTTGATAACTTTTGTCCAGAGTTCACCACGGACACCCTAGTAACTGAACAAATTAGGTTTAGTGTTTGGAGTGAAAGACAATGCTCTCAGCTTTACAAAAAACACTCATTGCAGAATTTGGACTTAGTGTGTGAAATAAGACTAAGGAATCCAGGATTTGCTCTAGATTGGTTGTCTTCAGAAAGTGGAGCAATTAAAAAAGATGTAAATTAATTTACCAAGAAAAGGGTGTTTGGTGTTTTCTGAGTTCCACAGTACTCTTTTTGTCACTATGTAGACAGTCTCATTATGTCTCTGAGTTCTGAGCTTGTGTCCAAAAGCAGAGAAGTAACCTATATCATACCATCTTGTAAGAATATTAATGTCTTTGAACCTCAGACTAGTTTCAGATGTCAGAGCTGTTTTCTTTTTAAAATTCCTTCTTAATACTTTTATGTTTTCAGCATTTTGTTTTGTTTGTTTTTTGAGACCCAGTCTCCCTTGCAGTCCCAGCTGGCCTGGAACTGGCTCTGTAGATCAGGCTGTTCTGGATCTCACAATGACCTGTTTTTCTTTGCCTCCTCAGTGTTGGGATTAAAGGTGTATGCCACTACACTCAGCTAATACTTTATGTTTTTGAACCAAAGGTGGGGGTTTTTTTGGTGATTTTGAGATGGTCTCCCTGTAGCCTTAGCTGTCCTGTAACTTACTCTGTAGACCAGGCTGACCTTGAACTCACAGAGGTCACCTGCCTCTGCCTCCCGAGTGCTGGGACTAAAGGCATGCACTACCATGCCTGGCTATTAAATGAATGTGTTTTATTATTGATTGATTGATTGATTGATTGATTGATTGATTTTTTCAGTGTTGGAGCTCAAACCCAGGGCCTTGCACAATGCTAGGCAAGTATTTAACACTGAGCTACATCCCTAATCCAAGCAAAAGTAATTTGTAAGCTGTTTTCAAAACAAGAAAAGTTAACAGCTCCTCAATTGATTTAATAGTTTTTAACTTAGAACAGTGGTCATCAAAATCTAGTCAACCAACCGGCATTATTTTGGGAACTGTTTTCACATGAGAAAAACAAAGGTATAAACTAAAATCATTAATTTCACTTTTATTCTTTTGGCCATTTTGTTGTCATTGAAATGTTCTTATTAAAATAATGACAGAGGCAGATGTTTACTTAGCAGAATGAAAAATGGGGCATCCTACCCCAAATGCTGAGGCCCTGGTAATTCTTCACTGTTTTTTTGTTTTGCTTTGTTTTTTATTTTTATTTTTTTGTTGCTCTTTTTTGAGACAAGGCCTCCCTGAGCCCTAGTTGGCCTAGAACTTGTATGTAGACCAGGCTGGCCTTGATCTCACAGAGATCTGCCTGCCTCTGCCTCCTGAGTGCCTGGATTAAAGGTGTGCACTGCATGCTGTTTTTCACTGTTCTTGCAGATCCTAGGACTCACCTTAGTTTAAAAAAAAATACTGAATTTTTGTGTATTTCATACAGAAAATCATCTTTATACCTCTTCCCCTTTGGCACTCTCCCATAGCCCCTCCACTGGAGTTCATACCTTCTGTCATTTGTGTTAAGGCCTAACATGTTAAGTTAGTGTCCCCAATGTCCCTCTGCAAGTTCATCACCGGGATCTAGTCAGCCTATCTAGAGTCATTCCCTTTAAGATCAGCTCTTCCTCACCCAGCAGTAATCAGCTGTCAATAATTCTTCAACTAAGATTGAGGCCTACTCTTTATTTCCACAGTTCTGTACTGGATTTTTCTCTGCCTAAGTTTGTGTGGGTCTTGTGCATCATGACACTATTACTGTAGGTTCGTTTGAGAAGAGCCCCAGAAGCATGTTGGACTATTTCTGTATGGTGATGCACCTCCTCCTTGAATTTTACAATCTTTCCACCCCCTCTTCTACAATGATCCTTGAGCCCTAGGTGGGTGGATTTTAATATAGGAGTCCTGTCCAAGGACTCACAGTCTGCAGACTCTTATTCTCTGAGGACCCACCTTTCAATAGAACCTTCAGAACTGCCTAGAAGACTAGTGACTTTATTTCCCCCCTTAGTTTGAATCATATATGATAAACTATATTATAATTAAACTTCATGGTATCAAAAGATATTTCAGCATGGTGTGGTAATATACACCTTTAATTCCAGCACTTGGGAGGCAAAGGCAAGCAGATCTCTGTGAGATCAAGGCCAGCCTAGTCTACATAGTAAGTTCCAGGCCAGCTATAGCTACAGAGCAATGCTCTCATAAACAAAACAAAAGATATTTCAAAATGACTTGGTCAATATGAATGAGTGCCAGGGATAATGACAAGTTATTTGATTTAGAAAAGTTATTTGATTTAGATCATCTATTGGGTTTTTTGGTTTCATGAAGAGCCAATTAAGAGATGGTAGTGACAGAAGCATCTAGAGAAAAGTCTAGAAAAGGTACCAGGATGGTGTCATCAAGGGTTCTATAGAGCCTGTTCAGGAATTTGTTATTTATTCTAAAAACAGTAGAAAGTTATTAAAACTTTAATAAAAAAATGAAATTCTGTTTAAAACCCAATTTGTATTGGAGAGGATCACAGATGTGTATGAGACTAATCCAGAGAAGAAAACAATGTGCTTTAAAGAAGTGTGGGTAATGCTAAGAAGAGGAATAGATGTTTCCAGAAACGATCAGGAGATGGTTTGGGTGAGGGACTGGAGTGTCTGTATGACCCAAACATTTCTGCAGTGCTCTGCAGAGCCAGCTGTAGCATCCTTGCCAGGGAACAGAACTGCAAGAGTTTGAGCTAAAGAATGAGGAGAATTTTGTTTTGGTTTTATTGAATTTCAAATGACAGAAATAGGTAGCAGGCTGTTGGGACTGGAGCTCAGAAGATAAACATTGGGAATCTAGGGGGTAAGGACCTTATTTGAAACCACTGGAGTGTATGAGCTCTTCTAGAAAGGATATAAAAAGAGAAAATGAAAATTAGGCAAAAGCCTTGCACATGTATGTGTCAGGTAAAAAGGAGACTGGAGAAGTTAAAGCAGCAGCCAGTTGGGATAGTTAAGTGTGACAGAACACCCAGGGAAGGAAGGGAGACAGGTTACCTCTTAAATACCATTGAGAAATGAAATGTTCATTCTGTTTGGCAGCTGGGGATTGACGGGCGGTGTGGGGGGATTGGACATCTTGGTCCAAACAGTGTTGGTGGCAGAAAATAAATTGTAGTGGGATGATGAGTGATTAGAAGGAAGGAACTAGAGTGGCAGAGATGACTGTTCTCAGTAATAATCTAAGTGGATCTGGAAGATGTGTAACAGTGAGACTTAATGACTCAGTAAGGAATTAATGAAATGAACCGATTCTTATACAGCAGCTTCTCATATGAGTAGTGACACTGTTGACATTAGCATTGATTTGCAGAGTTTCCATTAATCTCATAAACCCCAAGTGATTTTACCCATGTTGTTGTACTACAAAAGAAAGAACAGGTATAATCTGTTCGCTTATTCACCTAGTACTGTGCCAGACTCCAAAAATGGCAGTGAGTGAGCTAACACAATAAACTAGTCTGTTGCCCTCTTAGGTCTTGATTCACTCATTCAGAAATATATATCCTAAATATCAGCAGCTATTTAATATCCCATTAAAGCCCAGAAGACATGATAGCATCTATATCATCAACTGAATTATGTAAGAAACATACCCTTTTAGTAAGTGTTCATCTTATTTAGAAAAGAGTTACTGCTGAATTAAATTGTCTTGCTAGAGTTCAACTTCTTTTCTGATAGGTATGAAAACTAGCATCAGTTTTCTAACTTCCTTAAATAGTCTTTCTTATTTTTAGTATATGAATGAAACATCATATAAGAGCTTTAAAATTTTTTTGTCTGTCCTCCAGTTCAAAATCCTTCTGCTTCAGCCTCCCTGGTACTAGAATTAGAATTGTAGGTACATACCACCACACCTAATTCAAATTAATTCCTTCCTTCCCTCCCTTCCTTCCTTCCTCCTCTCCTTTCCTTTCCTTTCCCTTTCCTTTCCTTTCCTTTCCTTTCCTACCCTTTCCCTTTCCCTTTCCCTT